GCTCATCAAGGGTAAGATAATTATATAATATTTTAATCATTAACATTTTTTAATTATTTATTATGACTTAATAGGCAATAAGTCTTATTATTAATATTATTAATATAAGTAATACGAACTTTTTTTATCCGAAATTATTTTCTACTGTTTTCTACTTGTTCAAACGCTGTTTTCTGGTTTCGCTGTTTATTTTTTTTATACAGCCTGCGCATTTGAGGGACTTTATCAAGAAAATGTTTCCTCCGGCAAGATTCGAACCTGCCTTCCCCTTTGCAAGGGAAACACTAAAATTAATGATTACGTATTACTCCAAACGTTAGTTTGTGTATACCAGTATTTGAGTAGACATATTATATATCTTATTACTATAAACATTAAGAAAGTACACCGATTTTTAAAATGGAGCAATTTTCGCCAAAGCAGTGTTATCTTGTAGCGTCTTTATAAACTGGAAAATTATGTTCTACAACCACCTACACATATTTAAGCATCAATGTTGTAGTATTTGAACAGTTGGTTCTGAGTAAAAACCAGAAAAATGCATCAATTGTGCGTCAGCGATGGATAATATCTGTATGACTGTGAAAAGAGAGATTTTGACACATTGATTATTAAATATTAATTTAAAACTAAACACTAGATTCATAATAGCAAAATATAGTGTCGTCCTGCTGTACCGTTCGAAATTTACAAGCCGTAACGACCCATTATGTTTTCATTAAGTGTAATCGGCGACAAGTTTCTTTTTAGTGGTTTTTACTCAAATGTTAAAAAGGAAGAGGTCAGTGCCAGTCGGGTTGGCGTAACCAAGACGGACTTTGACAAACCAAGAATACGACAGCACCCATGCATCCAGGTTTGCCTGATCTCGTCTGTCGCAATCCCGTTTGAGATGCGAGGGAGGCGCTTCAGGTCAAGTGTGTGGGCTTCTACGTCGTTGAAGAGCTGTCCACCAAAATCAAATTCACGCGAATGGACTCGTTAAACTCTTTTTTGATTCACAGTTATCTTCGCCACCGTCACCAAGGGAGAGAAAGGTACAGGGAGAGATGATGTCGGTCCTGATGTGAGCGGGTGCTGACAACAAACTTTTTTTTTTAGATTAGTATCAAAGTAGTACAGTCACTAACACGCAAGGGTGTGGAGGAATTAGGAACAGAAAAGTTAGTAATGAGCGGAAAGAGAAAAGAGTAATCAGGAGGACAGTAACTAGTGAATGACATTGCATTCATATTTTTGCAGTTTAAAGTTATCAGGCAAATATGGAGCCGGGAAGGAGTTCCATAAGCGACAAGTGCGAATTAAGAGACTGTTAGCATAGAAGTTACGGCTACATCTAACTAGAAATGAAGGATTGCTGCCTAAATACACACACACACACGCACACACACACACACATATATATATATATATATGTGTGTGTGTGTGTGTGAAGAAATATAGTTTTAAGGTGTGCTATATTTATGGGATAAGATGCTCAATATCAGAGATAGAGCGTATGTAAATATATATATAAAAGTGAACATTAAAGTCAACACTCAGAGGCGACAGGCTCTTTCATGCGAGGCGCAGTCATTGCACCTAGCATGAAACAGCCTTCGCCTCTGAGTGTTGACTTTTAATGTTCACTTTATATATATATATATATATATATATATATATATATATATATATGTGTGTGTGTGAGAGAGAGAGAGAGAGAGAGAGAGAGAGAGAGAGAGAGAGAGAGAGCAGCAGGAATACCTCCCACATATACCACTAAGAAATACTTCCCACATAATGGTAAGAAGGTGTGAGTTTATACATATTTAGAAAGAAATATAATATAATGTTCAAAAACGTAAAGCCACAAGGGGTTACTGAGTATGAAAGAATAAGAAGAAAGAAAAAACATTGTTTCGAGGCTCGAACAATTAAAGAGCAAGACAGTAGATAATGATTTACATTGCATTTAAATTTTTGAAGATCAAAGTTGGCTGGAAAGCAAGAAGCCGGAAGAGAGTTTGTTCCACAAGCGAGAAGTGCAAGAGAAGAAACTATTAGCATAGAACTTCCATTTTCGTCTAACAAATCCAACTATGAATTGATGAGAATTTGCCGTTAATTTAGTATTTCGCTTTAATTTAAGTTTTAATTTTAAGGTTTTGGTACCATAGCGAAATATGAATCTGGCCAATTACTACGAAAACAAAAGAGTGGTGTTCCATTAACTTGGTACAGATTTGAAATGTGAATTAAGTTTAAGCGTCTAATGACTTTTTTTCTTTTTCTTTCAGATTTGGCAGATATTTGGGCGATATTCTTTTTTACACGTAACTACCATGACTTAAATAACATGATTCAATAAATAAATATTCACCTATAAGACTTATTTATTTACTTCTGATTTTGATCCGTCTTAATAAAACACCCTTATATATAATCCGTCTTAATGATACACCCTTTATTTATACCAAAGATTCAGGGAAGCTAGTTTACGACGGCGGGAAAGTGACTGAAGCTGGGACGTCAGATCAGGATCAATAATATTGCTGATTTTTCTTTGGATTTTATCAAGAATCTCTACACATATAACAGGAGAAACAGTCCATATGTGGCAGCAATATTCAAAGCATGGACGAATGGTTGACTTATAAATATATAAGATCGATTCTGCAGAGAAAAATTGTCTAGTACGAAACAGTGAACTCAAATTTCAACTAAGTTAAATCCTAATGCAGTTCCTAAATGTTAATCCAGCACTGACTGATGTTTTAAACAAAACATATATAGCTGTCTTTCTGGAAAGAAAAAAGATTACGACAGTATTTTCCTATTATTTTTTTTTTTTAAATTTTGAAGTTATTTGCACAAAATGACAAAATCAAAGTAGCTAAGCATTGAGATGAGGGCACAAATTGAAATTTTATTCAAAGAAGGCTACTCTCAAAGACAAATTGCCAAGTGGACGATCTCTAAACATGGGGTGCAATATTTATTCAAAGACAGAAACTGGCGCAAATTTTGACAGAAAAGGAGCTGGAGTAACAATAGTGACAGCTGTTGTTGAAGATAAACACTTGATTATTTAAAGCAAAAGAAATAGAAGGAAAACTGTTCCAGAGTTGAGAGCTGAATTTAATTCCTCTTGACAGCAATGTCATTCTTAACTGTGAAAAACTGACTTAGATCAGCGTGGCTCACGGGTTGCGTAACCATCAAGAACCTCTGTTGCGGAAAAAGAATAAGCAGAAAAGACAGTTATAGGCAAAATTCTTAAGAACTCGATATTGTATTAATGGCAAAATATACTGTGAATAGATGAGTCCAAATTTGAACTTTTTGGTAGTAAGTGAGAAGAAAGCTAGAAAAAAGATTAAATGATGAATGTGTGGTTTCAACAGTTAAGCTTGGTGTAGGGGTGTTTTGGAAAGAAATTTCATTCAGGTCAAGGGAATCATGAAAAAAGAATAATATCATTTAAATTTTGCAAAGACATGCTATACTATCTGGTTTACGGATAATTGGAAAAAATCTTTCAACAAGACAACGATCCAAAACACTCTTCTAAATTATGTCAAAATTACGTAGAATTAAAAAAAAGAAACAAAACTTTGGAAATTATGACTTGACTGCCTCAATCTCCCGACCTCTGTTCCATTAAATTAGTAAGGGGATGAATTAGATAGGAATTGTCAAGGAAAATATCCAAAGAGTGAGTGTGAGCTTGAATAGTACTTGAGATGGTTTGCCAATTACTAAAAAAAAAAAAAACTGTTGGAAGAATACCAAGAATTTGTAAAGCAGTAATTAAGGCAGGTGGTGGTTTAATTGAGGAAAACAAAATATGATGCTGTTGTATAATAATTTTTTATTCATTTAAGTACTTGTTTTTTGTCAAAATATAAGCAAATACACTGCAGTTACAGAAACTGTATCTTTTATTTTAAAAAGCACGAAAATGTATCATTTTAAGGTGTTGTTTTTTAAATAAATGCAGAGTGGCCCCAAACTTTTTGCCTGTCGTCTATATATGTGAATACAAAAGTGTACATATATATGTACGCAAATGCACATATCCGTGTGCATCTGTGTAGAACTGTGAGCATTGATGGATAGCACTACGTAAGTATATGCATTGGTCTTTTGCTTCTGTGTGTTTTAAATAGTTAATGGCATTTTCTATGCAAATAGATTAATGTTAACGCTGAAAAATATATACTCCCTTAACTGTAACTGTATATATATATATATATATATATATATATATATATATATAGTATTTACTCGGTTGATCGGTACATACTTGCTTACGGTCATACACGTATATTTATTAACCGCATGTGTCTATGTGTGCGTAGCGTACATGCACTTTGATAAAATGAAAATGAAGAAATAAAGAAAGGAGAGAAAAAGGAAGTACTAAATGGAAGTCTGAGGTGACGTGACGAGGTGTTTTTCGAAATAACTCCTTCCAACGTCACATGACCTACTCCATATGTTCCACTCACCTTTTTCAAAAATCCTGCAGCCTCTCACTTGAAAGAACTCTCCACCTCGAGTGACAAGCTACCTTACACGCCGCTCCTCAATTAGCCTCTAGCATTTGCCGACATTTTTTTTTCTCCTTCTTCATCTTCTACACCAATTAAGATATGAAATGGCATTCTCTTCGGAATTTTCATTATTCATTTCCGTTAGCAAAATTTTCTTCTAATATCTTATTTTCTTTTTTTACAGTATTTTCCGTTAATTTTTCTTAAGTTACTTTTAAAAAACTGAAAGAATATATAAACGTAAAGAAAAGAAAAAAAAGTAGAAAACATTTCTGATACATCTTGAACATGTGTGAATAGATAAAAACGAAGTAACGTGTGTGGCAGAGGTTATTGTGGCCGCTTAGGAACTTGACAATAATTTTCTCTATCATAATACCAGTGAGTGATGGATAGTTCATAATAACACTATACGCAACAGTGCAGCTGTCAAATTCGGACGAGAATTTTAGTATAAATCACTAGTTACAGAATGTCATATCGCCTCCTGTTTTCTCCGTCAACAAATTCTTTCTCTTTCTCTGTTTATTTCTTTCTCTGTTTATCTCTTTCTCTCTCTCTTTCGCTTCCTCTCTCTCATTTTATCATTCTCTCTCTAGATAGGTAAAATAGATACGAATCGACTGAGATAGATAGAGAGAGATATGAATCGACTGAAATACATAGATACATACATACATATATGCGAATCATCTGAGCTAGCTAGATAGATAGATAGATATACGAATCGACTTAGATAGATGCGAATTGATTGAGGTAGATAGATAGATAGATACGAATCGACAGATAGATACGAATTGACATATATAGTTAGATAGATAGATAGATAGATAGATAGATAGATAGATAGATAGATAGATAGATACGAATCGACTTAGACAGATAGATGCGAATTGACTGAGACATATAGATACATACATACATACACAGAGAGATCCGAATTGACTGAGATAGAGTGATAGATAAATATATTGATAGATACGAATCGACTTAGATAGATAGATAGATAGATAGATAGATAGATAGATAGATAGAGATACGAATTGACTTAGATAGATGCGAATTGATTGAGATAGATAGATATATGCGAATTGAGATAGACACGAATCGACAGACAGATAAGAATTGACATATATAGATAGATAGATACGAATCGACTTAGATACTAATTGACTGAGATAGATAGATAGATAGATAGATAGATAGATAGATAGATACGAATCGACTTAGACAAATAGATGCGAATTGACTGAGACAGATAGATAGATACATACATAGAGTGATCCGAATTGAATGAGATAGATTGATAGATAAATATATTGATAGATACGAATCGACTTAGATAGATAGATAAATTTTTCAGCTCTGCGAAAGGATCTTTTCCTCCCAAATTCAGATGCTTAGTCAGATTTTGCGAAGGTGCTTGGACTGAGGACATTTCAGTGCCTATAAAAAAGAGCAACACACACACCTACATACACACACATACGCACACACACACACGCAGAGAGAGAGAGAGAGAGGGAGAGCGGGGAGAGCGGGGAGAGAGAGAGAGAGAAAGTCCGTAATTTGGCATTTTTAACTTGCATCTAATGGCTCCATGAATTTTGCAATAGTGGTTTGAAATCTAATAAATAAATAAGTAAAAAACATCAAAAAATGATTCATATCGAATATTGTTTAAATTTCTAGAGACAATGTGAACCATTTTATTTTAAAATGCAACTAAACGAAATGGTTCTCATTTCAATTCTTAACGTCCAAATCTGAAGGAAGCAAATATTTAACAGATTTGGGATTCAGGTTACGATGGGAAACTTTTATTTAATTTATTTTCTAGGTGTACAACATTTTGTAATAATCATATTAATAAGTGCTGCTAAAAATTCGATACCAGCCGGCGCAGTGTCAACAAAGCTGTGTATAAGGATGGGTTAGGAGAAATACAAATTAGCAATAGTTATCTGCAGTGGTCTGTGAAATAGAATTGGTCACAGAAGTTTAGCCTGTTTTTCTCATCTGTTCACTTTACATGACGTGGCCATTTTGTTCAACGTTTTCCTTCATTTCATTTCACATATATATATATCCACAGCCCATCTGAAGTTATTACGCAAATCCCATAATCCTCATGAAGTCGAATTTGCTTTGAAAAAATTTGGCCAAATTTTAAACGATTAATTTTGACGTCAAAATAAAACTCGAGTTAAATTATTAGACAGTTTCAACATCTTTTATTAAAGTTCATTTAATTATAACAACTGCAGTCTGAAGTTATTATGCAAAACAAGAAAATCACTTTTTACTCATAACAAGGTAATCAACAATTGATTAACACCTACAACAAATAACAAGCATGTATGATAAGTCTTGTGCACCCTTGTGCAAATTAATTGAAACAAAACGAATAATCCCGTTATTATTTACTTTTTTTCGTATTTTGCCAATGAAACATGAGCCAGTGCACGTGTTAGTACTTCGTATGTCCATTCCACGATGTCGTTCCTTGCAGATTGACCACAGATTCTGTTGAAACTTGACTAATGCATGGAATAATAATACAACACAAAATGTACTTAGAACAAAATGTATTGAAACAAGAAAGTGTACACAACATTTACATATAGTCTTTTGTATATTCTTGGGAAGGCCGTTCCTGGAGAATGTGTTGACTTAGTCGCAGTCGGCAGAGTCTCTGGATTGAATCTCTTGATTCCTGCCCTCGTCTTCCCGGTACCAACCATATTTATATCGTCGGTACTCCACTATGCAAATTAGGTGGATCCTGCCACAACAGATTCTCGACTGGATTTAAATCAGGAGAGTTTCCGGGCCAGTCTATAGTACTTTGATTTGCTCACTGCTAAGGCTTGCCATTGTGTTCGTGCAGCGTTACAGTTTTCGTACGCCTCCTGGGAGTAACGTCCATCGCAGGCATTGGCCGTAGGACAACTAATCGACAATCGAGATAATAGTGTCCGGACGTGATAAAAATCTGAAGCAATCACAGATGACGCAATATTTTTCAAGGCCAAACAAATTTAATCATATACCCCGAAATTCATATTCATATTACTGCATACCACTAGAAATGACCTAATCTGAGGAAAAAATAGAAATGCATTACATTCACTCCACTGGGTCTAAAAGTGACCGTATGGTGAATGAAAGGAAACTAAAGCAGTTGTTTCAATTAATTTGCACAAAGGTGTAGATCTTAATATAATGACACTTCTCAATAACAGCCAGCAATCTATATTATCCATTATATTTTTTTACTTCAGCAGTTTTAATTTCCTCTATGATTGCTTCTCATAGGCCTGCCATGCTGCCATATTGTTTGCCACCTTCATATAATTTCATCTTCACAATTGACCATAGATTTTCGATAGGCTTCACATCGGGACGTAATGATAGCAATTCAATTATCTTCTCTCCTGTAAAAATTTTACGCTAAAAAAATTCACGGTTATTCTTATATAAGAAGGTGCATTATCGTGTATAAATATACACTTGACTTTGAAACTGCGAGGTTGGGACTCAAAGAAAATCTTGTTCCTGAAATTGCAATAGCTAACATTGTTCAGTTTAACGCTTTCGTCGATTTTGAATGGTCAAATAATGGTTTGGTCAACAATTCCAGCCCATATCCTTACACTGTCGCCTCCTTGCTGCATTCTTGTAGACACAGGTGCATCTGCATCGGATAAAATCCATTCTTTAGTTCCTCTCTCAGATCAATCAAATCTCATCCGATTTGTCCGTGAAAATTACTTTTTCATGTAATTTCTTGGCCCGATTTTGACAATTGAAATAATTTTCTTTACTGAGAGGAGTTTTCCTAGGAGATTTCTTGGCAGATTCCAATTTTTGAAGTATTCTGCACCTTTTGTCCTTCTTGATTCCCTCAATTTCAGCCTGTTCAAAGATGTTAACACGGAAAAGTAATATTTCACGATAAATCGCTTTAGTTTAAGGTCCTCTTCAAGGAGACAAGTTTTTAAAGTCTTTGCCATTGCTTCTAGGTCACAAGTTAGTCATTTTCAACAGCTCTCTTTATCGTTCGATGATCTCTGCAAAACTCCTTTGATATCTTTAATGTGCAAATTCTGTTATTTTCTATTTTTCAACATCTGTTAGATCATTTAAACATGTTTTAATATATATTATAGAAAAATAATAAAAAAGTATGTATTAGATTTCAGAGACGTTAAACTAATATTAGTTTAATCTGCATCATAACTTCAGACTAGTTTTTATAATAAATCCAATAACTTTAATATAATGTGTCGAAGCAACCTAAAATGTAACTCAAGCTTTGTTTTGACATCCAAATTAGTTTGACTCTTAAATTAATCGTCTGAAATTTGAAAAAAAAAATTCAAAGCAAACTAGAGTTATTGAGGTTTATGTTATTTGTATAACTTCAGATAGAATCTATCTATCTATCTATCTATCTATCTATCTATCTATCTATCTAAGTCTCTTCATTATCTATCTATATATCTATCAACCAAGTCTCTTCATTTTCTTTCTATCTATCTATCTATCTATCTATCTATCTATCTATCTATCTATCTAAGTCTCTTCATTATCTATCTATATATCTATCAACCAAGTCTCTTCATTTTCATCTATCTATCTATCTATCTATCTATCTATCTATCTATCTATCTATCTATCTCTGTCTGATAAAGGCATTCAGGCAAATTCTAAAATGTTCAGGATTAAATGCAAAAAGTTGTCCAAATACTACAGAATATAGTATGAACTGTGTGTCTGATGCATTCTTGCTCCAATAATGTCTACCAAGAAATAAACCCATACTCTTTGTAACAGATTCCTAGAGAATTTCGACTGTGATAGTCAACTTATACAGTTACTTAGCACATCTGTTCAGAAACCATTTGAGTTCTTCAACTGTCTTGAATTGCTATGGCGTTCCTCTTCACAGGCTTAGAAAAAAGTTCTGAGATTCATAAAGCTTGGCCGAAATTTCAACCTTTCAAATGGACTTCGACTATATATATGCATTTATAATGAATCAGTGGACTATCCTTCACCAGATGGCCAACATTTCTAACAGCAGCAATAACAAAAGACAAATAAGGATATAATCAAGCTGTTGGATTTCCAAAATAAGAAAAACAAAATGTTTGGAAGGAGGTTTCGGCCACTACTCGAAAGAGGGATAACAGATAGTGGACTTGAGAAACCTAATTTCCGTTACTGTTTTAATGAAAAAATATTTTAATAAATTTCACCATTATTATTATTGTTGTTTTATTCCCTTTGATTTCTGTTGTATACGTATTTCATCCCGGGTCCCAACAAGAGACTCAAGGTCAGAAATGGCATCATGACATTTTCCACTGAGCATTTCTGCAAAAAAGAAAAAAACAAACAATAAAAAACATATAAGATAAGTCACATTTTATACAGATAAAGCCCTTCGTAAAATGTGAGCTGTGAATACAATTTTTTTATATTTCTTTAAGGCTACAAGGAATCCCTTTAATGAGTCTATCGGAACTTTTTTCAATCAATCCGAGTGCTCAAACTACAACTGGAATTATTGATATCCTTATGTGCATCATTTTTTAGATTTCCATTTCCAAATTGTATTTTGATAGTTTTTTTTTTATTGTTCTGTCTGTGTGTATTGTAAAGTCACATTATTATTATTATTATTATTATTATTATTATTATTATTTCTAACACACTACGTACCAAGTCTGCGGAAAGACCCTGGCAGGTCAACTGTTATGGCCACATTTCATGTTAATTTTTTTTTTTTTTCCGATGAAGTTAGCGTTACATAGACAAAGTTCTCCTTAGTGTGTGTGCTGTATTAATAAGACAATTTTTAGTATTTCCAGGATTTTTCAATGTGTTGTTTTGTTCCATTTTTTAAATTCCAAGTGCACCTATTACCACTGGTTTTTTTTTTGTTTTCAATTTCCACATTTTTCTATTTCAATTTCCAGGTCTTTGTATTTTGATAGTTTTCAAATTCTTGCTATGTTACAATCCGCTGGACGTTTACATCAATTAGTGGCAAGTTTTTCTTTCTGGTTTTGACAATAATGTCCGGCCTATTTGTTCAATTTTTCTGTCTGTGTGGATGGTATAATCCCATAGAATGGTGACATCTTCTATTTCTGTAACTGGCGCTGGCCGATGTTCATATACCAGTGTTTGCATTTTTCCAAAGTGTTTGCACATTGTCCATTAAACCGCCCCAATCTATCGTGACGATTTTTATATTCATTTGGGGCAAGTATAGAACATCCTGAGATTAGATGGTTATTGTTTCTTGGTATTTGTCATTCCACATTATTATGTATTATATTTGCCTTTCTTAAAAAGACTCTGGTCTTGGCTGCAAGAATAAAAGCCTTCAGTTTCAGACTTTAATCCAGATGCTCGAACTAATGAGTAATAACTTTATCAACATTTTTGCCTTCTGATATTGGCCATGCAGAGGTTTTCTTGCCAGCGTTGTTTCATCTGTTCAAGGGCTTTATCCTTGGCTTTCTTTTTCATATTATTATTATTATTAAAAAAACCTAATAA